TTTTAGTTTGTACTACGTCATATTGTTCAAATAATAATTCGATCTTACCGATTCTTAATTGCAATTCATTTACTTGTTGCTGATTCAACGTACCGCTCAATTCCTCGATGTACTTTCTGAATGTAGTCAATCGGCCTTTTAGACTAGCTCGTTTTTTAACTAGCTCCTTTTGATCTTTCTCACTCATTTTTGAAGTATTTGGGCAGAAGCGGGCTAGTTAATCTGGTATTGATAGAAGTTATAATTGAAATAATGAACTGTAATGACAACTAAAATGAACTATACAGTCACACTATTATGTACACACCTATAATTAATAAATAAATAATAATTTTACAAGTGTGAAAGACAGACTATTACCAAAAAAATGCCAACAAAAACACATTAAACAAACCACATAGTTAACCCAGCTTGTAATATGATAAATATAAATAATCTAAACAAAAAAACAGAGTAATGGGTTACACATCACTAATTTGTCCTGAATATCAAACTTGGATCACTTCCCTTATTTCCTGGGTATCTCGGCTCGATGGACCATGTAGCGGACGGTTTCTTATTTAGATATTTATATTTGTGAGGAGGAAGATTTTTACAATAAAATAAAATTATGATGCAACTTTCATGGCTGACAGTTTATTCCAACTGACATTAGAAACAAAATTAAAAAATTATAAAAATATAAATGACAGCTGTTGCTTTGCAACTAAACTTTTTACTGCGGTTCCGAACATGGTCCTTGATATATAAGTATACTTGATGTAATTTTTTTTATCGAATTAACCGGAGGTTTTGAAACCGGTGAAAATGACGTTTAAAGATCCCGTTGCATACAAACAAACAATCAAACAAAAAAACAATCAAACAACAACCAATCATACAATCGAACATAGCAAGCTATAAAACCGTGTTAAAAGGGAAACGGTTCGCAATTAATTATTTCTACTACAGACTTATCGTGTATCAATCTAATTTTGGATATGAAATGATGTTAATTCAGACCGGCAAACCATTATGTATCTAAAATATCTAAATAAACTTGAAAGTTACGTTTTTATAATCCGGATTTGCAGAACAGGTTTTTGTCTTGTTATTGAAAGCCGTTTCCCGTGGACACGTGGAAGCCGTAACTTCGATAGTGACGGTTCGATCTGTTAGAAGTGAGAAGGCCGAACTATTTTGATGAAAGATTTATTTAACACTACAAAATAGTCTTAATTAATGATCTGGAAATAGTGAGGAAAATCAATAAACGTCCAACCACGATGAATGCCTGATTCGAACTGAAACTATTAAGTTCTTATGAAACCTTATCATAAGAGTTTTTATGATGAGTAGGTGTTTTATAAGCATTTGCCTCTACGGGCTAGGAATGTAAGAAATCGAATAAAATATTTATTTAAAAGAAATATTTTAAATCAATCGTATTGTAATTAGAATCCCGCAAGATCGATATTTTTGCGTAAATGTTAGATACTTACCAGTGGTAATTGGACGTCTTGTGAGTCCGCACTTACTGTGTAGGTACTACCACCCTGCCTATTTCTGCCGTAAAGCAGTAATGCGTTTCGGTTTGAAGGGTGGGTCAGCCGTTGTACTGTAAAAACTTGAGACCTTAGAACTCATATCTCAGTGGTGGTGGAATTTACGTTGTAGGTGACTATGTAGCCACTAGGTAGGCTGTGAGCTGGTCCACCCATCTAAAGTAAAATAAATAATACTGTACCGTGTGAGCTCGGAAAGGTAGGTACCGCTTTTTGGCTTATTTATACCACTAAGGAATATTAAATCCTAACTTCAAGGGTGATATGGTTGCTATACAACTACAATTGGATTTCGACCTCACGCGATGAGGTGGGTGACGACATTATCATGTTAGTGTTCTAATAACCGCTTAACACTTAGTGGCTTGTGAAATCAGTTATCTGGCTAATCATTATTTTCCTGCCCTTCTCCCAGTCACCTGGGGTCGGCGCAACATGTTTTCTTCTTCCATACTCCTATATCATATACCATTTCTTCACTCACTCCCCTCTTACGCATATCGTCTTTCACACAATCCATCCATTTTTTGTCACCTAGCTAATGTCATACATTAAAAAGGCTTTTAAGTATTAGACTTGTTCCTCGGTTTTGCTCGGGTAAAATTAGGAATGCAAACGTTTTGAATTAACGCGGGATAAAGAAGATTTTGCGCTAGTGTTTGGTCCATAAGCTTTCAGTCGATTTTTAGATTCTTTTGGTAAGCAAAATTATAGAACAAGCAAATACATTGTCCTATTTTTAAGACAAACCTACACGGTGTTGCCCTCGACATATCAATTGTCATTATAAAAATTATCGTATGTAGCACAGATTATAAACTATTTTTGTTCGTGATTTTGTCCAAATCCAGCTCTTTTGCATGCATATAGTAACAAACATCCAAACACACAAACCTTTCACATTAGAATTTTACCACTGATAATCTTATTAAAGGTAAATAACTTTTTTAAAGTAATATCTTGAACATCTTTAATAACAAAATATATGAAATGAATGAACGCTTGACTGCCAAAATACTAATTAAAATAGGACCCTTATGTAGTTAATGGTATCATGTACCGTATTTTTCAATGCACAAAAACAAAATAGTTTTTCTGACTGAATAAAAAATCATAAGTTAGTTAACCAACAAATCGAAGCGAATATGGATGTCTATAATCTACATATTTATTTTTGTATCTATAACCAAATTTTGTACAAAAATGAATCTATGAGGCATCAAAATTGCGATCGTTCTAGCATTTATTGCAAATCTTGATCTCATTATTTCACAAAACGCTATTGTACCGTCGTATCTCCGACGTGGGATTGTGTTGCAAATATCGTACGCTGTGCATCATTTCATAATGTTTGAAATTGTAATGATTGTAAACTATTAAAGTAGCCTTTCCCAAAGTGGGCGATAACGCTGCCTTGTAGGCACTGCAAACCTAAAGAGGGGCGGTAAGAGACCCAGAAAAAAATGAGGGCGTTGTGTAAAGGTTTTTTGAGGCGATTTATAATATTCATCTAAGAGGACTCTTAGACACCGACTGAGCTCTCGCTATAGTTGTTTTTAAGTAGGTGAAAAAATGGGAGCGCTAAAAAATAATTTATTCTCAAAGTAGGCAGTAGATAAAATAAGTTTGGGAACCTCTGTATTAAAGCTATCAAATTTATTAATACGATTTGTTTTATTAGCTAAGACATTTAAGTGGCAAGCGAAACTCATTGGATCCACACCGTGAACTACGCAGTCCATATTATGATTAAGATAGACATGATGCTGTGCCTCTGATGCGATTTTTATGTGTGTAGCATGCTCCGTCATGTACTTACGATATAATCTAGGAGACTAGGTAGTAGATAGTTCCTAGACTTAGGTTCTGTTGATGATACGAGAGTCATTGCTCGAGGTAGCCACGGTCGCATACCTCGTAATAAGGAAGGAAGCGAGTTGTTTTTGCCTCTGCCATTGACGATGTCCGTGAACGAAATTTTAGCAAACCTTGAAATATGATATTATGTGAGCTAGAAATCACAGTATAGTGATCATTAACCGGATCCAAATAAAAACTGGTTCTCTATTCGAGACGTGTATTTTTATATTTATAGTTATTTGTTATCAATTTTAATTCAATTCTATATATTTATAATCGCCACCTTATATTTTTTATGTTAGTATAGGAGGTAAAAGTATTTCTGTGGTTTTCGCTGCCTTATAATTATTTATCTGAGGATTTGGTTGTCAAAATGTACATGATGTAATAAAATGAGCAGTAGAACGTCGAGTGTGGTGTAATTTGTTGATTTTTTTTATTTGAAAAACAACGGAATGTAAAAATAGGTCAATGTTTACTAACAGATCTAAAAACAATGGATGATTCAATGAATAGATGAAGATTTTTTTTTATATCACTGGTTGTTCGCTGTGTTTCGTTACGTTCGTCTGTTATCTCGTCAATGGTTTTATTATATCGGAATTAACAGCTTTCTCGTTTCCTAGGTGCAGAAAAAATATATTTGGCGTAACCTTGTGATATTCCTCTAAGGATATTTCTCTCTGATATTTCGAGAAATATGTAATTGTTTTCATTGCTCTTGTAGGCAGACGAGCAAACGATCCTGATGGTGAGTGTCTACCGTCGCCTATGGACGTCAGCAATGCCAGGGGCAGAGCCAATCTGCTAACTACCTATCTTCACTACATAGTATAAAACAAAGTCGATTTCTCTGTCCCTATATCTGTCTGTCCCTATGTATGCTTAAATCTTTAAAACTACGCATCGGATTTTGATGCGGTTTTTTTTAATAGATAGAGTGATTGAAGAGGAAGATTTATATGTATAATAACATCCATTAAATAGTGGAGAAATCAATAATAAATCACAGTTTCCGAAGCGAAGCGAGGGCGGGTCGCTAGTATAATGTGACAGTATATTTGTATTGATGATGTCCATTCTTGAACGAATCGCAAACAAACTTAAACCTCACGTTGAGAGACTGGTACAAACATATCTTCCTCCCGAAATCGCCTATATCATGCCCCTCTAGCCTTCTTTATTAAAACATAGCTTTGCACTGCGTCTTTGTCCAAATCGAAATCCTTAAAGTTTTTTTTTTATTGCTTAGATGGGTAGACGAGCTCACAGCCCACCTGGTGTTAAGTGGCTACTCGAGCCCATGGACATCTACAACGTAAATGCGCCACCCACCTTGAGATATAAGTTCTAAGATTTCAATATTGTTACAACGGCTGCCCCAGCCTTCAAACCGAAACGCATTACTGCTTCACAGCAGAAATAGGCAGGGCGGTGGTACCTACCCGCGCGGACTCACAAGAGGTCCTACGTCCAGTAAATAATTTACAGACTCTCGTCATTTAAGGCCTGGTAAAGAATCGTATGCAATTTCAGTGCCGCATTTCGTTACCTTAACTTTATATAATAATATATATCCTTTTTGTCTTTTCACAGTGCAAACACAGCGATGGATAATGACGTGACGCCGGTATACCTAGCCGCGCAGGAAGGTCATCTTGCAGTGCTGAAGTACTTGGTCTTGGAGGCCGGGGGGCGATTGGACGCGAGAGCCAGAGATGGCATGCTTCCGATACACGCTGCCGCCCAGACCGGCTGCCTCGACTGTGTCAAATGGATGGTAAGGATATAATATTAACTCTGACTGCCCATGCCGTGTAGGTCACCGGTGCTCTACGCGATGCACTGAATTAGTTATGTTCATTTATCACCGGTGGTAGGACCTCTTGTGAGTCCGCGCGGGTAGGTACCACCACCCTGCCTATTTCTGCCGTGAAGCAGTAATGCGTTTCGGTTTGAAAGGTGGAGCAGCCGTTGTAACTATACTTGAGACCTCAGAACTTATATCTCAAGGTGGGTGGCGCATTTACGTTGTAGATGTCTATGGGTTCTAGTAACCACTTAACACCAGGTGGGCTGTGAGCTCGTTCACCCATCTAAGCAATAAATAAATAAAATATGTTACTCATTATCGTCATAGTCGGTTACTCTTGGCAGAGCAGTCGTGGTCGTGTGGTATCCTTGTGTACTAGTCATGTATCGTACACGGCACGCGCGCATTCACATCAGCACTTTTACATCGCTTTATTCAAATCGTAATTATAAAGCGCCAGTACGAGCTCATCGCTCTTATACAGCGGTACTCACCACATCAACATAGATAGAATTAGTTACTTGTTAGCGAAGTATATAATAAACGGATATTCTTTGACCATCAGTGATTTCTTCTTATCTAAATCTCAAGTTGTGTACGCCACATTCAGCAGCGCATACACCTTCTTTAATAAAGCCTTGCAAGCTGTTCTCTATAGTTCGCGAACTGAAGCTTTGCGCTCGTTAAGTGGGGTTTTGGTAAGAATCTTCATATGATCAGTCCAGCGCATGGGGTTTTGTCCACATCTTTTACCATTGACCCTACCCTGAACAACAAGTTTCTCGATAGACTCGGCTGTCCGTCGCGATGCGTGTCCAATATATTAATGATTATGCTACTAAGGCGCTGGAATGTCTAGTAGACTCTGGGAAAGACGAATCCGAAGATACGGAGAATGAGATTTCTTAGAGACCTAATGACTAAAACAAACAAAATAAAGCAAAGTCAGCCAGTTCAGGCCGCTTAGTAACAGAAATCGACAAAATTACTTCAGTGCGTCGCGTAGGACTTCGGTGACCCACACAGCAGTCAAAGGGTTAACAAGTTAATAAAAATATAGTATTTGAATGATGCAGTTCATAACCGATTTTAGTACATGTGTGGTTCGATTTTTGTTATATTGAAGCGACAATGGCGGTTTAGTAAAATTCAAATTCTACATTCTTAAACTCTGTTTAATCACTGGCACGTCCACATTGCGGTCCCGGCTCGAAACATTAGAAATGGTAAATTGAATATAAACATGAGATTCAACCGTAAATCTATAAGAAGGTAGGCGCCGATGTATAAGTAGTAGTCACTAGTAGTAGTTCGTTTTGTGGCTCTGAAATTCTTACTGTCGCTTTGTTTGGATATTTTCTCGGGGTCAGAACAATTCTGACTATTCTCTTCAGAAGCTATTGTGAGGCTCCTGCGAGAGGTGTTTGGAGATGACGGGTAAAGGGAAATTGACTCGAAAGTAAGCGTCTAAGGGTCGGGTGATTTTTCAACACAAGTCTTTGACCGGAATAATATAGGAATGTTTTTTTTTATTGCCTAGATGGCTTGACGAGCTTACAGCCCACCTGGTGTTGAGTGGTCACTGGAGCCCATAGACATCTGCAACGTAAATGCCATCACCCACCTTGATATATGAGTTCTAAGTTCTCAGTATAGTTACAACTGCTGCCTCACCCTTCAAACCGAAACGCATTACTCCTTCACTGCAGAAATAGGCAGAGTGGTGGTATCTACTCGTGCGGACTCACAAGAGGTCCTACCACCAGTCAAGTAGTCTGCGACCAGTCGAATCTTAAGAAAAAAATCACAATACATACATAAACTGTTAAATTATACATAAAACAACATACTTTATAACCTTTTGAATGAATTGCAAAGAATACAATGCACAAATAACCACAAAAATCAAGGCTAGAATGATTTCGTCACAGCATTTCCGAACTCAACAATTAGTTTTCGGTTAGGCAACAGCGAGCTTTAGATGTTAATGTTACAGTAATATGTGCAATATGTGTGACTTGGGTTAGCCAAGAGAAACTGAGTTTAACGACCCGTCGATCAGTGGAAACGACTCGGAATCACGCGGTGTGCTGACTGGGCATTTAGATAGGGTTGACGCAATTAGGATTTTAATTTTATCAATATCAAATAAATATATCATTTTGGTTTGAAGAGAGGTTTGAAGGATATGTTAATACACAAACGTATAGATATAATGAAAAAAGATTTTCCTTCGTAAGTTTTCGGAAAAGTTTGTATTTATCGTGCTCTCTCAAATAGCTTCAGTACAATGACATTATTCATTTTGACATTTGACACTAAACAATAAAGTTCCATAATAATGGATATGAAAATGTTACTTATTTAATACGAAAATTCATTGACAGTTCGGGTGTCATCGTATTCCGATAAAGATCCGAGTTTTCCCGAAGAAAAATAATTTCACACTACATCTACACTTATTTAATGAATTCTTACCCGGATTTTTACTTTTAACGATTTCCTGATATCTCGGCGGGCTGCAAGCGGCCTTGATCACGAGTAGATTGAAAAATATTGTGTGTAATATAGATTAGCCGTGGAAGCTTAAAAGAAATCGAAATTAGTAAAATGTAGGGTTTCGGCAATTGTTTAATATTTTTAAAAACCGTTTGGTGATGAGAAAACATAGAATTGTTTCATATTGAACTCGCTTTCGTTCAGCAAATTCGCCAGCATTGATTATATATGTATTTATATCGCGTCAGTCGAGACACGTGGCCAGTATTAGAACAGAAGATAGCCTTCATTAATTCCCGGGGTTCGAACTATCCCATGCCGAAAACAATCAAAATCCACTAACAATCAAAATTAGGTGAGTGGTCTAGGCATGAAAAGGTGACAGTTTTTTTCTTCATATGCGTAATCTTAGTACGTACACGGGAAATGCTTTTTAAAGTCCAATAGCTTTATAAAGGCTATCCGTAAACAAAACAAATATACTGTACAATAACACGTTGATGTAGATAGAAACAAATACTTTTAACCTCTTCATCTTTATCTTAAGTACCTATGTTAGTGTTTCGTGAGATGGCCAGACGCTTGTGTGACCCTTACATCTTACTCTTTTTGTATCATGACAAGTTTTAGTGGATAGGTAAGGAGCAACGGAGAGCATTCAGTGTGTCTCGACTGCCCATCACCGGTAGGAGGATACGGGGCTTCCGCAGACGCACTAAACTAAATAGTTCTTTCTAGAAGAAATATTTATTAGCAGCAGACTCGGCTACACGTTGCTGTGGCTAAGGTTTTTGTTTCTAAATAACACATGACCGGCTATAATACCAAAAATTAACAAAGTAAGAACAATTGGATTTCATTATATTGCGTTTACTACGAAATAAATTTCACTTATACTTTAGCTACAGCAACACGTGGTGCTTATGCCATTAAATTGTAGCTTATGTGAAACGTTGGTATTTTTAACACAGCGCCATCTATGAGATATTAATATCAGACAGTATTACAATTGTCTGTAAAAAATGATTTAAGGCGCCATCTGTTTTAGACTTATGAAACTTACAATTATCAACATAATAAATAATTTTATTGTTAATTAATAAATATTGCGACCATTAATCGAAATAAAAACCATCCTATGACCAAGTTGGAACAAAACACATATTTAAAAAAAAGAAAGTTAATATCGGTTTAGTAGTTTAGGTGTCCATCGCGGACAAACAACGTGACAAGTAATTTATATATAATAAGATTGTAATGACAAAAAAAATATTAATTCAAAGCCGAAATCGATCCAACAATTCATTTCTCTCGCACGCAACCCTACTAGCCACACGGATGCTTTACCTGATATTGCGGTTACCGCGTTTGAGATTTTCTTCTATAGGCTATCCTAATGTTTTTCAGAACTAGTTAGAAACTATTAATAGTTGTTGATTTTTTATCGTGAACTATGTTACAAAACATCAAAAGTTGAAGTTAGATTGTGATTGAAATCTTCGTTATTGTTGATATTGGGAATGTGCAATAGGTATCATAGCTCAGCACATTTTTTCTGAGAAAGTCATCACGGGTGGTGAGTGGGAGAATTACGCGATAGTATATACATATTTTGGTCTCTTAAGATTTCGAGAGTTTGGATGGCTTGGGAGGCTTATGGGAACATAAAAATGTAGACCTATTAAATCTATATATTAATACGTGAAGCAAAAACTCTGTACCCCTTTTTACGAAAATTGCGCGGACGCAGGAGTATGAAATTTCCCACACTTATAGAGAATATAGAGAAGGAGTGCACAATGCTAATATTTTTTTAAATTATGCAAAAAAAATACATTACATCAATAAAAAGAACATTACACACACTACCATGTATTTGACAAACACACGCATGCGTACTATTTGTTTATTGTCAAACTTTTATTAATGTTATAGTCGGTTGTCAAATTGAGAATAGATTTAATATACTATATTTGTCTTTATTAATATTTGTCTAAAGTGTAGTGTTGGTGAAATCTGTGATTAAAGAAGTATAATCTAATCTTTGACAACAGAATCACAATAGTGTATAAACTTAGAATTTCAATTAATTATAGTCGAATTTCGACTACCGGGGACCACTAGTTCATATAAATTCTTCTGTTTGATCAAGTGATTAAGGAAGTCTTTAGATATGTGCCTACATTTACTTACTTAACAAGTCACATTGAAACGATAACTTTTAGAAATCAAATGCAGCTGGTAGTACGTTTAATGGACTGTGGCGGAAAAGTGACTCGCTCGTAATCATCAAACGACTTTATTACACGTGTAGAGAAATTTTACATTTACACGTGTAGTTTTAATTTTCATTGAGATTGCGTAGAATTACAAATCGTGAAATCGAGTATCATAAAGTTCATAATTGTAATCATGAAGTTATGTTTGAATACGACCTTTGAAGAAAATCTTTCTACTGGTGGTAGGATCTCTTGTGAGTCCGCGCGGGTAGGTGCCACCACCCTGCCTATTTCTGTCGTGAAGCAGTAATGCGTTTTGGGTTTGAGGGGTGGGGCAGCCGTTGTAACTATACTTGAGACCTTAGAATTTATATCGAAAACGACCTTCTTTGAGGTCGACATGGCCTAAAAGATAGACGTCCGGTGCATTAGTATCCAGTGCAGGTAACAATTTTTCTTAATCAAACGCACATTTGACACATGATAACCTCCCGATCCACTAACGGTGCTTCTAGGTACTTCAAGCACCGGTCACCGTTCTCGTCGAACCCGTCACTTGCGACAAAGGGCTCGACGAGTAAATTAACCCTCTTCTTAGTGGGTCGCGTTTCCGATCCGGTGGTAGATTCTGCGAAGCACGGCTCTTGCTAGGGTTCGTGTTAGCAACGTCGTCAGGTTTGAGCCCCGTGAGCTCACCTACCTGTCCGGACGTAACTAAAAAAAAGACACATGTTCAAGAATGGCTTCCACGCTGAAGAAATAACAACATGTAATAAAAATGGAACCCGCAAAAATTATAATTTGCCTAATAACTGGTGGCGGTAGGGCGTTTTGGGAGCCAGTTTGGGTCAGTACTATCTGCCTGCTTTTGCCGTGAAGCAGTAATTGCTTAATGTGTGACAAGTGGCTCTTGAGCTCGTCCGATAATCTAGAGTTATGAAAAAGAAATGCTTACAAAATTGTCAACTGTTAGGAGATCCGTGCGCGATCGCGATAAGCTTGGAACAGCTTAGCGTTGAGTAACATGGCTTTATGTAATCAGTCTGTCTGTGTTCCCGTGATAATAATGTACTAAATGTCAGATGTTTAACAGTTTTTAGCCCATAAATGATACAATAACACTTTTAACTGATCGCTACAAACGCCCGAGGTCGATTCGAATCTTGAAGGCTTTACAAAAGCATTACTTTCGTGGCCGTATTGCGTATTGCGTTCGAATTTATATCGATTTTAAATTATTTAAGCGAATATTTTAATTGTTCATACGATTTGAATATTATTTTGTGTTAATGATCTTTCGTAATTGGTCCGTTTGATGTTTTGTAAATCGTCTAGCCTTACTCATAGTATGTCAGGCCCGGGTCAAGCGAGTTTGGATGTAGCAAAATCGAGTTTTTGTTTGATTAATCTGATTTTTGATGTGCGGTTACAAAATCGAGATTCGATTTTAAAAGCGGCCTAGATTTAAAATCGTTTGGTGCCTTATCGTTTATTGCGAGGTAATTATTAGCTAATACCGGTTATTGTTTAGTAGATCTGTCAAATACGAAAATTTAATTTTTATTCAATTGAAACTAGCCTGTAGTTTGGAGGCTTAATCTTAAATGTCTATGAATGTGATATGAAAAATAAGAGTTAACCTAAAGGTTGTAAATACCAGGGCATAAAATCCCAAAAAAATTTTTTATCGTAAATTTTTATTATTTTCATTTTATTATTTCTGAAGCTTCGAATACGTTATACGGATTTGTAATCCGTCGACATTTGATTAATTAACTAATTATCTACTAAATACTCTATTATATTATGTACTATCTATTAACTAATATGTTAGAGGAAGTCTGAAAGTGGCACCTGTGACAGAGAAGTTGAGATTGCGCGTTTGGGATGGTATGGACATGTGATGAGACGAAGTGAATATGAGGTTGGTAAGAGAGTGTTAACTACGAATGTGGAAGGATATAGAGGAAGAGGTAGATCTAAAAAGAAATGGATGGATTGTGTGAAAGATGATATGTGTAAGAGGGGAGTGAGGGAAGAAATGGTATTTGAAAGGAGAAAACATGTTGCGCCGACCCCAAGTCATCGGGAGAAGGGCAGGAGAATGATGATACCGTCTAAATTTGTATAAAAAATAGTATAATAAGGAATTTACGTTTGTTTGAATTGGTTGAAGGAAAAGTCTTTTTTTTTTTTTTTGCTTAGATGCGTGAACGAGCTCATGGCCCACCCGGTGTTAGGTGGGTACCTGAGCCTATAGACGTCAACCTCGAGACATGAGTTCTAAGTCTCTGTTTTCACAGTACAACGGCTGCCCCGCGCTTCAAATCGAAAAGTAAAAGTAGTTTTAATTAATGCTCGCGAATAAAGTATTTTTAAATATCTTAATTTAATTGGCGAAGTTGTAGTTTTTAAATTGCGAATAGGCCTTATGTTTAATAGTGCACAATATTTCTTCCAGATTATAGAGCGCGGCGTTGACCCGAACGCGAGGGATGGAGACGGTGCGACTCCTCTTCATTTCGCAGCTTCGAGGGGTCATCTCAGTACCGTTCGCTGGTTACTGAGACACGGAGCCAGACTCCATCTGGACAGGCACGGCAAGAGCCCTATTAATGATGCCGCAGAAAATCATCACTTGGAAGTGAGTATATTAGCTACTAGCGACCCGCCCTCGCTTCGCTTCAGAAACATTAAAACACACATGAAAAAAATAAATAAAAAAAAAGTAGCCTATGTTCATCAGGGACAATATCGGCTTCTAATGGAAAAAGAATTTTTCAAATCGGTCCAGTAGTTTCGGAGCCTATTCGAAACAAACAAACAAACAAATCTTTCCTCTTTATAATATTAATATTATATTAGCTATTTGGGGAAACTGCTACCGATGTCCCGCAATCAAACCAGCAAAATAATAATTTGCGTAATTGCTGGTGGTAAGGCGTCTTGTGAGCCCGCACGGGTAGGTACCGCCACCCTGCCTATTTCTGCCGTCATGCAGTAATGCGTTTCGGCTTGGAGGGTGGGGCAGTCGTAATTATACTGAGACAAAAATAATTATATAAAAAAACGCTGTGCTTTGGGAATGATGTTGCAAGAGTAATAAACACTAAAGCACTACCTAATTTAAGTTCGAAGTCTCAGAATCTAATACGAGATAGTATAGACGTATTTTTAATAGACAAACTAGCATTCATTTTGATGTCTATGGACTTCGATGCCTACGTAGACCAGATAGGCCGTAAGCTTGTTCAACTGTCTATACAATAAAATAAATTTATCGCTGTTTGACCATCGAGAAAAAATCTCTTTTAGGTTTGACAGCAATTTGACTGGCGGTCACCATCTTATCTATCTCTGTTGCGAATACTTCGGAATGTCGATATTGCGTCCGTAAAACTCACATTCTCACTCGTACGGAATCTAATAATAGCAGATTACGTTTTTAACTGTTATATATATCGATATCAAAAATGTTATTTCTAGTGATGACTATAACTTTCTATTGCGGTCCGCGAACGTTTAATAGCTAGAAGCGCCTGTAACGAAGATCATGTTTGGAAAGTATATCGGATTTTCACTTGTCGGATTACGCGGACTGTTGCGAGTCTAAATTACTCAATCGATGAATGCGTGTTCGAAGAACATACAGCCTTTTTGCTGTTGAGTTAGATCAGATAGGCGGTCGGGTAAAACTGGTTTTGTCTGGTTCTATAATAGCTCAGCGAATTGCGGCTACAACTATACTACTACTGCTTTTTACTGATAGTATGACCTCTTGTGAGTCCGCACTGGTACCACCACCCTGCTTATTTCTGCCGTTTGCGTTTCGATTTGAAGGGTGGGGCAGCCGCTGTAACTATACTTGAGACCTTAGAACTTATATCTCATATCAAAACGATCTAAAAAGTAGTTAAAACGGACGTTTATTTAGACGTTAATTAATTCGGTCATATTGCCCGCCGACAGTCAGATAGCTTGGACAAAGTGATTGTGTCGGGCAAAGCAGAAGGAAAGAGACCCCGCGGCCTATTACCTAGCCATTGGTGTGATCAAATAACCGCCCTAACTGGGTTGCCAGTCGCAACCGCCATTCGAGAAGCTGAGGACCGGACGAGATGGAAACAGCTCACGAGACAGGCCATGGTCAAGTTTCGGGGACACGACCTTCAGCAATGAAGAAAGCGACGAAGAAGAAGAAATAAAAAAAAACATTCCACTTCAGCGGTCTACCTGGGATTCCCGCCTACGTGTTAGACCTCGAACACTCAATACCTTTAATACTTTGATCGGAATCGAACTCGTGTTCCTAGGTGCCGTAGTCAGCGTACTGAATCGCCCACTTCGATAAAGCGGCACGACACGAGAACCCTCTCATCGTGGCCGCCGGTAACTACATTCCCGATCCTGCGGACATAATGGAAAGCAGTCGACGTCGCCCCAAACACGTCATTTCGGATCCTCCCGATCCACTAACGGTGCTTTTAGGTACCTTAAGCACCGGTCATCGTTCTTGTCGAACCCGTCGCTTGCGACGAAGGGCTCGACGAGTAAATTAACCCTCAGACACAGCCCACTGAGTTTCTCGCCGGATCTTCTCAGTGGGTCGCGTTTCCGATCCGGTGGTAGATTTTGCGAAGCACGGCTCTTGCTAGGGTTCGTGTTAGCAACGTCGTCAGGTTTTAGCCCCGTGAGCTCACCCACTAGTTAAGGTTACGCTGAAATAGCCTCTCAAGGCTCTCAGCTTAGGTAGAAAAAAAAACTGAATCGCTAGACTGAGTCGTTAATAAATAAATGAAAAGAAAAAAGTATATTCCCACAGCGCTCGCATACCGTGAACGCATTGAAATTTTGTCACAAGCGACATTGACCTAACACCATGAGCCAACGTATCTGATGCGGTCGTGTATTAATTGTTAAAGTGACATTCAGTTTAACATTAAGGTCACGGATCGTACGTATGGTCTCTCGTTTTCATAGAGAGCTCCCGGCAAATGCGATTTGAAGCAGCTACTAGAATTCGCGAATGTCACTTCATAAATATCGCGATTTAAAATCAGTTTCGACAGTCTGTCTACAACATTTTTTTGATTTTGTATATTTCTCTAAATACTCTACCTTATTTTTACATAATAACTAGCGGACCCGACAGAAGTTGTCCTGCAAAAAATCATTCAAGTCGATCCAGCTGTTTAGTTGTAGTATAGATAAATAACCTAGATACCGACTGCAGCGCCATCTGCCGGACTGATTGCGAATCTAAACCATCCAAACGCATACAAAAAAAAATCATTCAAATCGATCCAGCCGCTTAGGAGGAGTTCAGTGACAAACACACGCACAGAAGAAATATATATACATATTAATATGTATATGCATATTAGGTATATGAAATCAAAAACATTGGCGCTACCCAATAAAATATCCCAAAACAATGGAATATTTATTGTGCTATAATAGTTTATTAAATTTATAATAGAAAGCACATTTTGATAGAACGTTTCAATGTACTAATAAAGTGCAATTAAAGAGTTTCCCTTATTGTTTTGTACTTACGTGTGCTGTGGTTTGTTATTTGTTCTCCGTATTCGCGGGAATATTTAAAAGTCAAACACACTAATTCAATAATATTTATAATGTTTACATGTATTTATTAAAATATCAACTAAAAGGAGAAAACGACGCTAGGCACTAGACGATACAAATTATACCTACTAAAATTTAGATTTTATATTGAACTTAAATTGGCGCGCGAATTTTGTTGTGATGCTACATGACGTCACATGAACTAAACGAAATATTATATAAATAAAAGAAACATAATAAGCTTATCATAAGTATAGTAAAAAAAATTACGTTGGTATATTTTTTATTTGTTTTTTAGTGCCTGAACGTGCTGGTCGCGGCTGGCGCCGCCGGAGCTGACAGCAAACAGCTCTCCTCGTATAAATCCATCCACTCCTGCGCTTGCACGCCTGGGGATGCGCGGGTAAGTTGATTTACTAATTATTTACTACTAGGGTAAGTTATTTACTACTAGTGGCCTAGTGAAAACAAAACTGCAATTTAATCGCACAGTCATCGGATCTAATTGTGAACTTAAGCTATTTAAGAAGTAATTGAAAAGTAGAGGGGGGAGGGAGGACGATATATGTAAGAGGGGAGTAAGCGAAGAAATTGTATATGATAGAGGAGTATGGAAGGAGAAAACGTGTGGCGACACTAGGAGAAGGGCAGGAGAATTATGATGTTGATGATAGAGGGGGAGGATAGGAACTGGTGGTATCAGAAAACGACTTTAATGATGAAGGAAGTGCACATGGATAGACACCACTGATCTGTCTATATTTGTTGCAACGCAGGGATCGATTTGAGGGATACGATTTAAAAAATACACAATTGAGATTTGGTATACAGATAACATCTTACTACAGATTAATTCTGTTAAATTATGTTATTTCATTGAATACAAGACAGTTATTCAGTCTTATTTTCGAATAAATTCAGTTTTAATTCAGAATTTGTTAACTAAGATAATTTTTCTAAAGTAATACCTACAACAAGTTGTTGTCAACAAATGTATGTGTTGACAGTGCGCGTTACCGAACTGCGTTAACGCGATCAGCACTCGGTCCCCATTTTACCTCCACGGCCCGGAGAGGGAGCGCCCCGGGACCCAGGACAGGCGGGGGTCTCTACCCTCCACGGGTGGCTCCGTTAGCTCAGCGCGCTCCGGGCCCGCCGACGGACTCTACGTCAACCCCATGCAACGAGCCACTTCTACCAACGTCGTACACCATACGTCTTCCGGAGAAGATAGTTCAGGTATGTACGAATTAGAGCTCTTAGAAGTTCAACTTCTTGGAAGCTAATCGCGTAGAAGTTAAACTTCTCACAAACTGGACCTTATGGTGACTGGAATGATTGTGGCCAAATCTGAAAACTGTGGAGGAGCGCTAAGGTTTTAGATAGTAGGAAAGGACTCTGATCGAACGATAAGTGGTGCGATGATGAAAAAGAAGATGAAGCGATCATTTCTAATAATACTTCATAATATTCGCGCAGGGTACAATGTTTATGTAAAAAAATTACGAAGATTTCTGTTATATACTTAACACTGTTTTAGTACACTTTTATTTTTATAATGCGAGTTTTCAACCCATGTCAGAGAAATGATAAATTAAAGTGTACAGGTATTATTGTAAGGATTTTTATTGTTTTTTTTTTTTTTTTTTTTTTTTTTTTTNTAGATGAGTGGACGAGCTCACAGCCCACCTGGTGTTAAGTGGTTACTGGAGCCCATAGACATCTACAACGTAAATGCGCCACCCACCTTGAGATATAAGTTCTAAGGTCTCAATTATAGTTACAACGGCTGCCCCACCCTTCAAACCGAAACGCATTACTGCTTCACGGCAGAAATAGGCAGGGTGGTGGTACCTACCCGTGCGGACTCACAAGAGGTCCTACCACCAGTAATTACGCAAATTATAATTTTGCGGGTTTCATTTTTATTACACGATGTTATTCCTTCACCGTGGAAGTCAATCGTGAACATTTTGTCGAGTACGTATTTCATTAGAAAAATTGGTACCCGCCTGCGGGATTCGAACACCGGTGCATCGCTTCAACACGAATGCACCGGACGTCTTATCCTTTAGGCCACGACGACTCATTGTGTCCAATCTTTGTAAATAAATAAATTTGGATTATCTTTTAGTAAAGTGACAATGACAATTCTACAATACTATTGTTTTTGTTTCAAATCTTACAATTACTATCACAAATTTTAGTGAAACTGATCGGGAAATGATACGTGTTTCTCTATAATGATAAATGGTTATTGAATCACTCACAATTCAATTAAAACAGCTTGTAATCGTTAGCGTACATCGGCCGTGTATAATGTTTTGATACGACGGAAGTCCGCCTTCCGGAAGTTTACTTAGGTAATGTCGTTTCGTTTGATTGGGCAGTCCGCTTCCTGCCACCGTACTGGACGGACGCGTGATGCGTTCTCTTTGTTCAATAAAATATGAATGTGATTAGCAAGAGCTTTGTTTGTACAAATTGGACTATAGGTACTGTCGAGTTTCGCATCTACGGTTCGTGTTAGATTTTATCGGTATGATTTAATAAGTGTGATATAATGGATTGTGAGGTTGAGGGTGGGGAGGTTGCTGTGGTAAGGGTAAATTGGCAGTAGGGCATATGGTCGTATGGTGGACTGACGATTTGACGATTTGCTGTTGCTATGTCTAGCAGTGGATGTTTGTAGGCCGATGACTATAATATTAGAAAAACAAAACATATAGTTTTTGTGTGAGTGATGCATATTGTTAGTTGATAGCAACGCAGCTATACTCGTATTTCCAATCTACCTTATAAATGAATTGGTGTTCCTTAGTCTCGCTAAAACTCGAAAGCAGCTGGACCGATTTGGCTAATTTTGGTCTTGAATTATTTGTGAAAGTCCAGAGAAGGTTTAAAAGGTAGATAAATATGAAAAAGCTCAGAATTTAATAAAAAAAAAAATGTTTTTCCTTTAATGTGTTCCCTCCCCGTCGGACGGATTCCTTTTGTTTGTTTTAAGTTTATTTTATACAAAAGCTTAGGTCTTTTATTTATCGATTGGGACACTACGAAGTCTGCCGGGTCAGCTAGTATATATTAAAAATAATAATATTTCCAGTGATAGGATTAACGTAAGTTGAAATAACAATAACCACAAACGAGGGTAGGTTACAAACTGTTTTCATTGATAGTTGAGTGGAATTAGGTGTAGAAATCACTGCGAAATTCTGCGATAAAGTTAACAAATGTTTTGGTTTCATTAGCACAGCATTTTAATACGTTTGGCACCGCGTTCGTGCTGTCCAAATATTCCAACAGCTACTAAATGCGTAAGATCTTGACGCAGGCTGTTCAGCATCCGAGGCGGACACGGCTAACTCCGGAGGCTGGTTCCTTCACGGCAGCAACAACGGTAGCACCGGTGCTCCTGCCGCTTTGTACCAGCGTGTCAGAGAGCTGTTTCATTCGCGCTCTCCTGGCCCGAGGGTCCCGGCTGAAGGGCAGGAAGCTCCCACAATGACAGGTGAGAGAACAGTAATGTGATAGTCGAACTTACAAGACTATAGAAAGGACAAGAGCCGGGTATTTTTAAAATGGTGGTGTATGTTGATCACTCAGGTCATTGTATATTAGTTACAGTTCCGATTAGGTGATCGAGATTTGAAAGGTACTCGTAGAATGATGTGTAGATTGTACGTTGCGAGATGAATGCTGAATTAAGCCGTCTTTTAACTATGTTTTTTAATTTAAAACGCTAATCTAAATAATATATTTATAAATCATTACTTTACATTATTCGCCGGTCTTTATCGGTTACGGTTTGGAAGGTAGAGAAACTTTTTGAATTTGTAGCAGATTTGATGTTCGAGGGCTCTAATAGCTATGCAACAGTTGGATAAAGAGGCTTTTAAAATAATTTTACTAAACAAGTCTTAGCCTCTCATGACGGGTCGTAATAAACAGAGTTTTGGCACATCACAGAGGTATCGCGAAACACCAAGCTGTAACGGTACATTGTCCAAGCAGTCTGTAGGTATTGTGACGAGATGGATGAAAATCCTCTGCACAGAGAGAACATTCTCTGCTCTGAGGAGATAAATAAAAATATCCATGGAAAGTAGTCTGGTTTATACTGAATTGAGGATCTCCACACTCGGTGCTTTTAGGCCCCGCAAGCACGGGTCACAGCCGAAGAGTTCTACGAGCGAACTAACCCATAGATAAAGCCCACTGAGTTTCTCGTCGGGTCTCAGGGGGTCCGGATTCTTATTCGGTGGCAGATTCAGCGAAGCACTGCTCTTGCCTAGGCCTAATGTTAGCAAATTCTCTCAAGTTGAGCCCACTTACCCTTCCAGGCGTAGCTAGAATAGCCCTCTGGCTACTAGCGAATAGGTAGGGGAAAAAACCTGGATAAATATATTTCATAGTCGGGGGATGTCGCAATAGATATGTGCAGGTCACACGCGATTGCGCTTATAGGCCAACGGCCCCTTCCGAGCAATTACAGTGTTAACCCTTTGACTGCTATGTAAGTCACCGATGCCCTACGTGGCGCACTCTTAAGGGATACTTGTTCTGTGACTAAGGTGCCGAAATATCTCTAGCCGACTCTGAGAAAGACGAATCCGAATATACTAAGAATGAAACAATTTCTAAAAGACCTTAAAAGACTGAAACAAAAATTAAATACAATAGAAGGCAAAAGTTAGCCAATCTAGGGGCTTAGTAACAGAAATCGACATCATTACTCGAGTGCGCCACATAAGGGACCGGTAACCTTAGTGTTGTTAACGAAGAGGCTCTACGAATTGAAGGTCTTCTTTCACAGTTAAAGCAGAAGTGCACGGCACGGCAGAAGTGACAACGGTCCAAGAACAATCCGACAGCGACAGTGGCGCTGAAGCGAATAAGCGGGATCATCATCATTATGAAGATATTTACCTGCCTCGAGAAGAGAATCAGAGGAGAAGGTATTAAGACTATCATCATCATTATCCTGCCCTTCTCCCAGTTACCTGGGGTCGGCGCAACATGTTTTTTCCTTCCATACTCTTCTATCATATACCATTTCTTCGCTCACTCCCCTCTTACCCATATCGTCTTAAACGCAATCCATCCATTTCTTTTTAGGTCTACCTCTTCCTCTATATCCTTCCACATTCATAGTTAACATTTTCTTACCAACCTCATTTTCATCTCGTCTCATCACATGTCCATACCATCCCAAATGCGCACTTCTCAGTTTCTCTGTCACAGGTGCCACTTTCAGACTTCCTCTAACATATTCATTCCGTATTCTATCCATTTTCGTTACTCCACACATCCATAGCAACATTCGCATCTCTGCTGCATGAAATCGTCTTTCATCGTATTAAGACTAATCAATGGCAATTTATATTCATGTAGGAAGTATTAGGGATAGGCTACTTTGATGTGAAGCGGTTATGGGAGCTCGTTGACCACGTGACCACTACGACTCGCCTTAAGACATGAGACCAAATTATCAATTCTATCGTATAAAGACTGTCACACCATAACCCAACTATGAACTATGAGTATAGTATTGGTGAGCAGGAGCTGAGTGGATCGGCTCTATGCTAGTCTACCTTCAAAGGCAAAGATAGGATGATATCAGTAAAAGTGAGCTCAAAAATATCAATTTTGATAGGTAATTGCTTGGTTGCATGTACATGCACCGATAACTGTGCAGTTTAATCACATACACGCTAGGGCTTGCTGTCTATTATGCATGCACGGCTAAAACCATCATGCAAAACCTAACGTGTATGGCCGCCATTATGGGGATCTACTCAAAAAGAAGATACCAAAGCGGTAGCTCGAGGATGCACTGGATTAGTAGGGGAGTTCTTGTTATCTTCTTTTTCTTAATATGATGATGAAGGTCGGTGACATGGAAGGACGTGGACTTACAATGACCTTGAGCAGTTTTTTTTTTGGTGAAATGGAACCGGCTCTGCGTTTCCAAACCGTCAATTAGATGTAAACTGATAATATAGTAGAAGGGAAAAATAATTCGAGAAGACCCCTCCAGTGAACCGTTTTGTTCGCAGGAGTAGTTCTCGGGACTCTGGAAGTCACAGTCGCCCCGGCAGCGCGGCTCTCCTCGTGGACTACGACTCCAAAGATAGCAACGACAGGTACGGGATATCATTATGTTTAGGCACGATCCTTCTTGTATAACTAGAATAATATAAGAAATTAATTTTAAACAAATAATTGAAATTATACCTGTTTTTTATAATGGCCCATTACAAATAAAAATATGCTTCCTAAGTTCATAAAATGAAGAGAGATTTTTAAATTTTATTTTGATTCTTTGGAAAATTGAGTAATTTTTCGAATTGTCTTTTTTATTGCTTAGATGGGTGGACGAGCTCACAGCCCACCTGGTGTTAAGCGGTTACTGGAGCCCATAGACATCTACAACGTAAATGCGCCACCCACCTTGAGATATAAGTTCTAAGGTCTCAGTATAGTTACAACGGCTGCCCCGCCCTGCAAATCGAAATGCATTACTGCTTCACGGCAGAAATAGGCAGGGCGGTGGTACCTACCCGTGCGGGCTCACAAAAGGTCCTACCACTAGTAGAGATCATGGGGCCATAATAAGACGCGTCATATTCGCCACGAAATATAATTCTCTGTCGTCTCTTTAAGCAGCAAGACATACGAGGAAGTTTCGCCGGTTGCGGAAGCTCCAGCCAAGTCGACGATGGCCACGAAGCTCGCGGCGCTCACGCACAAAGCTCAGAGCTTCGTAAGTCGTTTGCAATGTACTAACATTCGACGAATTTATATTGTCCTTTCCGTATATCATAATACTTTAATTATAATATTATTTGGTGACCGTTAGCAAATGTAATTTATGAACACATATGAAAGGGAGATTCAAAATCACAGATACATTAATATTAATGATTAGAGACACCTCTAATCATTAATGTATCTGTGATTTTGCTTTTGCTTCTTGATTTTGAGGTTGATCGATCTCACTGTTCAAGTGGTCACCAGAGTCCGTAGGCATCGTGACGTGAATGTCGTTTGAGACATGAGGTTGAAATCTCCATTATATTTATCTGCCTTCACACCATTCAAATCGAAACGCGTGGTTTCTTTGCACCCGAATAAGCTGGATTTTGAAGTTTAAAATTAAGCCAACAGATTATAACTTTAGTTGCTTTTTAAGCCCGAACGGATTTGTACCGCCATCCCACCTCTTAATGCCGCGAAGCATATCTTCTAGTTTATAGGATGCTATCAGGCCTCATTTTTTTTCCTACCTTAGCTGATGGTCTTGAGAGACGATATCAGCGTCATCGGACGAGTAGGCGAGCTCATGGGGCTCAAACCTGACGTTGTGAATAACACGAACCCTAGCAAGAGCCGTGCTTCGCAGAATCTACCACTGGATCGGAAACGCGACCCACTGAGAAAACCCGGCGAGAAACTCAGTGGGCTGTGTCTGTGGGAGCTCTCACATTGTGCAGTCTATGGGCTGTGGAAACCACTTAATAGATGTTAAGCAGTCGGGCAAAAATAAATGCAACTAATCGTCACACTAATGTTTGTAATGTTTGCCGGTAACCGTGAAAACCTAACCCATGAATCAGCTCGCTGAGTTTCTCGCCGGATCTTCTCAGCGGGTCACGATTCCGATCCGGTTGTAGATTCATTCGCGAAGCAGCTGCTCTTGAGTTGTTAGGTCTCCTTCGGAGGCGCTCGGGCACTTGTTAGCAAATCCCACCGCTCCTGGCTGAGCCTTTGCCCGCCCACCTGTCCTGTTGACACTGGAAAGGCCTCCGGGCCACCAGTAATCCTTCAATCCTAAAAAAAAAACTTACGTTACGGACGTTTTTTCCCGGTTAGGGTACCCCTCTGCATCGTCCCATAAGGAACTTCGTTCCAAAAACTAATGTTTGTCCGACACTGGAGTCGAACCTTCGACTCTTGGTGCAAGACTCAGTGACGTTAGCTACTGCACCGCCGGTCGGTCTGTAAGCTACACCGCATGGCGACAATTTAGTTACCAATGATGTCCAGGCGAGCCGCATATCGTCAGCGGCCGGCAGCCGGCGCGCGTCCGTGTCCGACGAAGCAACCGTAGTCCAAGCCTCTGCATCGTCAGGAGTGTCGTCCGGAGGCAGCTCGGGGGACGAGGCGCCACCCCCGCCGCCGCCGCCCCCCGCCCCACCTGCGCCCCCCCCGCCCGCCGTACTGGAGGAACACGCTATACGACCGTCGGAATTCAAAGCTAGGATCGGTAAGGACTTATTTTGCTTTTGAACCTTTCTCTTACCCCCACTAAGGCTTGTATAGGGAAATAGAAAGAGACGTCTGCAGCAATGTAAGTACTTGAGTTGTATTGGTGATTTCCTTTTTTATTATTAGCGTTTTTGAGCAACACGAATAGAGTAATAATTTTTTATTTCATACTTGGTTGGACGAGCTCACAGCTCACCTGGTGTTAAGTGGTCACTGGAGCCCATAGACATCTACAACGTAGATGCGCCATCCACCTTGAGATATAAACGTTCTAAGGTCGCAAGTATAATTACAACGACTGCCCCACCCATCAAACCGAAACGCATTACTGCTTCACGGCAGAAATAGGTACTGTGGTGGTACCTACCAATGCGGACTCACAAGAGGTCATACCACCATACCTACTACCTGCATAATTGGAAGTGAAATCCATTATAATGTGGACAGGTGTAACTCTGATGCGCCCCGGCACTGTAGGTGTCCACGACTATCGATGGCAATCCACTGTCTTCCAATCATTTGTAAGGAATTTGTGTAAAATAAATTCGGAAGAGGTGATGATACTAACCCACTTCTTCTTCTTCATGTCCTCATTCCTCATTAAGTAGGCTCGGCGTTGCACGTCCCCTTATCATTTTCCACCGGCGATTAGACATGAGTTTTATGACCAACCGCCTGACACTGACAGACTGCACAGTTAGCACTGCTCTTGCTAGGGCCAGTGTTTCCAACACTCCCGGCTTGAGCTCCGTCAGCTCACCTACACGATAGGCTGAAGCTGAAATAGCGGCTATCAGCATAGGAAGGAAAAAAGTAAATTATAAATACAGTGGATTTCATTAATAACGACCTCGGTTATAACGACTTTTTGGTTATAGCGACGTCAAGCTTACGTCCCTTGAATTTAAAGCATACTTTCCTAAGAAATTCATTCGGTTATAGCGACTTTATATAGCGTCCATTTTGGGTATAGCGACTTGTTTATAAGAACCATTTATGACAGATTCCCAGAAATCCCTTGCGGATATTGCTATTGAGTCAGCAAAGGCGCAAAGACTCATTCATAAAACTATTAAGCTTTCTTATCCTTTGTTTACATTCAGAGATGGTCAAGCAAATGCTTTGTTTGTAAGTTCCTACATAAGTGTGCTAAGTAGTCCTCTACTCAGCACGGGAAACTTATGTGGTCGTCGTGGCCTAACGGATAAGACGTCCGGTGCATTCGTGTTGAAGCGATGCACCGGTGTTCGAATCCCGCAGGCGGGTACCAATTTTTCTAATGAAATACGTACTCAACAAATGTTCACGATTGACTTCCACGGTGAAGGAATAACATCGTGTAATAAAAATGAAACCCGCAAAATTATAATTTGCGTAATTACTGGTGGTAGGACCTCTTGTGAGTCCGCACGGGTAGGTACCACCGCCCCGCCTATTTCAGCCGTGAAGCAGTAATGCGTTTCGGTTTGAAGGGTGGGGCAGCCGTTGTGACTATACTGAGACCTTAGAACTATATCTCAAGGTGTGTGGCGCATTTACGTTGTAGATGTCTATGGGCTCCAGTAACCACTTAACATCAGGTGGGCTGTGAGCTCGTCCACACAGCTAAGCAATAAAAAAATAAAAAAAATTTGAATATTGATGATAATGAAATTATTGCGTCTGCGCTTCAAACACAAGAAAAGTAGGACGAAGAAGAGGAAGAGGATTGCAATCTAAATGAAATTCCAACAACTAGATATATATTATGTGCCATACAACACTCCAAAAGTACTGTTTATTTGGTGAAGGTCAAAATAATTTAGACGTAGAGGGAATAATGAAAATGGAATACACCTTACAACGTGCAGAAAGAACTAAACTTAAACAGTGCAGTATAACTCGTTTTTTCAATAACACCTGTGTATACCGTAATTAAATAAATGATAAGTAATTACTTAAGGACATGACTTTACATTATTTCGGATATAGCGACCTCCGGATATAGCGACGACATTAAAGTGCCCCCTCCGCCGTCGTTATAACCGAAATTCACTGTAATCTAAACAAACTCTTCATATCGAGAAGTTTTTCAAGTATTTTCTCAAGCCATAGAAGGAATACAGTTTAAAAAGCCATTTTGCATTAATTACTTCATTAATTTCATAGTCTTCGTAGCTTCAATCAATCACTTTACTATAGTTCCGCGATTACTGGCTTTGAGTTTAAGTAAGAGTCTTTTATTATTAGTTAAAATTTACTGGCCATTGAGCCCGCATGGGTTGGTACCACAATCCTGTCTTACTCTGTTGCGGTGTGGGTATGTATTGTTTTGAAGAGTGTTATGGCCTGCAATAAAATATATATGACGACAGTTCATGACACAAGATAGGTGGTTGCATTATATTTGTCCTTATCCATTATTATTAGCTCCTTCGACTGTGTATGCATCCCGTGTTTCACTAAAACGTTAAGTGTTTCGTTGGTACATTAACGCTGTTTTAAAGGAACCTTGAATTACTTACCGGTATTTATAGTTCTCAAGAGATCTTTTTCTTTTTTGTCACCTACCGTCCGGCTCTGGAATGATCTTCTCCTCCAAGTTTCCCGAACGCTATGACATGTCTTTCTTCAAACGAGGTTTACGGAGGTATTCGAAGCGTGTATTGCCGCAGCGACGGTAACCACACTCATCGTCCGAGGGTCCGTATGTTCGTCTGGCTAGAAGGGCAATAAGAAAGCTGTTTTTGTGAAAATTTCTCTTGCTGATTTAAATTGACATACCAAAATAGATTTCATTGTGAAACCCCGAATGATTTTTTTTTATTGTTTAGTTGGGTGGACGAGCTCGCAGCCCATCTGGTGTTAAGTGGTTAATGCGACCCAATAGACATCTACAACGTAAATGCGCCACCCACCTTGAGATATATGTTCTAAGGTCTCAGTATGGTTACACCCTTCAAACCGAAACGCATTACTGCTTCACGGCAGAAACAGGCAGGGTGGTGGTGCCCGCGCGGACTCACAAGAGGTCCTACCAACATTAATAGTCGCAAGCAACCGCATTCTAAAAGTTCCAGAACATTCTACGGTTGATGAGCATATAACAAGTCCGAATTAAAATACAAATATAATTCGTCTCCAATTTCAATATATTTTATTCGATGTAAAAATACTTGGGATTGTCTCGGCCGGTTTAAATAAGTCTGTTCACTTTCTACCGAAGCTAATGGGCAGTTAGTCTCGTTCTGATTGCGGCGCACTCACAAACAATAAAATGTATGTAAAAGTTAATACGAATTAATTGTTTCTTTAATGTATTTTTTTTTTTTTAATGTTTCTTTTTTGCATAACTTTCTGTTTTCAAAGGATCGGTGTCGGCGAATCAAATTTCGTCACGGTAACTAATATTATATCCGGTCACTCGTTGTGTTTAATTTAATTTCGATTTACCTTCTCTCGTCTCGTGATTTTTTTTTTTTTCCTACCTAAGCTGATAGCCTTAGGGGCTATTTCAGCGTAACCCTAACGTTTGTAGGTGAGCTCACGGGGCTCAAACCTGATGACGTTGCTAACACGAACCCTAGCAAGAGCCGTGCTTCGCAGAATCTACCACCGGATCGGAAACGCGACCCACTGAGAAGATCCGGCCAGAAACTCAGTGGGCTGTGTCTGAGAGTTAATTTACTCGTCGAGCCCTTCATCGCAAGCGACGGGTTCGACGAGAACGGTGACCGGTGCTTGAAGTACCTAAAAGCACCGTTAGTGGATCGGGAGGATCCGAGATGACGTGTTTTGGGCAACGTCGACTGCTTTCCATTCTGTCCGCAGGATCGGGAATGCGTCTCGTGAACGGTTATCGAGTTCTTTTGTATTTTTCGTTTGCTTTTGCTACACAGCGTTTGCCTACGTTTGTCGCTAGGGGCGCTGTCCCAAATCCATACAAATATGAGTTAACTTTTACCCCATCGAGAACGTTAAAGAGCTCGCACTAAGCGTACAGAGTCCGCCTGCTTTTTTTTATGATTGAAAGATTACTGGTGGCCTGCTGTTTTGTGGCTACATCATATTGAACGCGTCTGCCTTGAGACATGATTGAATGAATGAATGAATGAAAAAATATCTTTATTGCACAAAAATATGACAGGAATGAATGAATGAATGAAAAAAAATTCTTTATTGCACAAACTATAGTAGTCATGAGTGAAAATGAACACTAGGTTATTTGCAAAATAAATACATAGATACCTACATACATACAAAATACATAGATAAGAAATACATATCTAATAAAATAAATTATATAAACCACACATACTACAAAAAAATCAAGCGATCTGTGTTTTTAAAAAAAGATATCATTTATTTTCGCTTTCAAAATATCAATTGAACGTGCTTGACGAAAACTCGGGGGAAAACTATTCCAAAGACGAGTTACTGAAATAGTAAAGGAATTTGAGCACAACGCAGTTCTGTGTTCAGGGAAGCGTAGTGTTTTGTTGTCAAGAGTCCGTAGATCACGACCATAAGTACTGAGAGATATAAATCTATCGCGTAAATATTGAGGAGAACACAGATTATTGAGAACAGAAAAAAGAGTGGCGAGGAGATGAGTTCCGACATGAAGTCGGAGACTCAATTTTAATGTTACAATGGCTACAATCTATAACAGTGGTTCCCAAACTTATTTTGTTTACTGCCCACTTTGTGAATAAATTATTTTTTAGCGCCCCCATTTTGTCTACCTACTTAATAACTACTATAGCGAGAGCTCAGTCGGTGTCTAAGAGTCCTCCTAGATGAAATTACAAATCGCCTTCCAAGCCTCTACACAACGCGATCATTTTTTTCTGGGTCTCTTACCGCCCCCCATTAGGCCTGCAGCGCCCACAAGGGGGCGTTATCGCCCACTTTGGGAAAGGCTGATCTATAACGACAGTATACTGGTACCTAGTATGGTACGGAATAAACCAGTTTGGATAATAGTAACGATAATGAAAGAGCAATGGGTGTTATTTT